GGGTCGGGTATTGAACGCGGACCTGCATGAAGCGAGACCGTCGCTTCATGCCCTCCAGCCATAGGTACTGGAACATTTATTGAACTGGGCGGCCGGTAACTGGGTTACCAGGTCCACATTAGTCTATGGTATCCCCTTAATCTCTGCTCCAGGTGGCCAGTCTGCTGGAATATCTGCTGGCCTCCACTCCCACCCCTACGCCTGCTCTGTCGCTCCCTCTCTGGCACACTGTGTACCACCACCACCAGGGGTACACTGTGTACCACCACCACCAGGGGTTACACAGTGTACCACCACCACCAGGGGTTACACAGTGTACCACCACCACCAGGGGTTACACAGTGTACCACCACCACCAGGGGTTACACAGTGTACCACCACCACCAGGGGTTACACAGTGTACCACCACCACCAGGGGTTACACAGTGTACCACCACCACCAGGGGTTACACAGTGTACCACCACCACCAGGGGTTACACAGTGTACCACCACCACCAGGGGTTACACAGTGTACCACCACCACCAGGGGTTACACAGTGTACCACCACCACCAGGGGTTACACAGTGTACCACCACCACCAGGGGTTACACAGTGTACCACCACCACCAGGGGTTACACAGTGTACCACCACCACCAGGGGTACACAGTGTACCACCACCACCAGGGGTACACAGTGTACCACCACCACCAGGGGTTACACAGTGTACCACCACCACCAGGGGTACACAGTGTACCACCACCACCAGGGGTTACACAGTGTACCACCACCACCAGGGGTTACACAGTGTACCACCACCACCAGGGGTTACACAGTGTACCACCACCACCAGGGGTTACACAGTGTACCACCACCACCAGGGGTTACACAGTGTACCACCACCACCAGGGGTTACACAGTGTACCACCACCACCAGGGGTTACACAGTGTACCACCACCACCAGGGGTACACTGTGTACCACCACCACCAGGGGTACACTGTGTACCACCACCACCAGGGGTACACTGTGTACCACCACCACCAGGGGTACACTGTGTACCACCACCACCAGGGGTACACTGTGTACCACCACCACCAGGGGTACACAGTGTACCACCACCACCATGGGTTACACAGTGTACCACCACCACCAGGGGTACACAGTGTACCACCACCACCAGGGGTACACAGTGTACCACCACCACCAGGGGTACACTGTACCACCACCACCAGGGCTTACACAGTGTACCACCACCAGGGGGTACACAGTGTACCACCACCAGGGGGTACACAGTGTACCACCACCAGGGGGTACACAGTGTACCACCACCAGGGGGTACACAGTGTACCACCACCAGGGGGTACACAGTGTACCACCACCAGGGGGTACACAGTGTACCACCACCAGGGGGTACACAGTGTACCACCACCAGGGGGTACACAGTGTACCACCACCAGGGGTACACAGTGTACCACCACCAGGGGGTACACAGTGTACCACCACCAGGGGGTACACAGTGTACCACCACCAGGGGGTACACAGTGTACCACCACCAGGGGGTACACAGTGTACCACCACCAGGGGTACACAGTGTACCACCACCAGGGGTACACAGTGTACCACCACCAGGGGTACACAGTGTACCACCACCAGGGGTACACAGTGTACCACCACCAGGGGTACACAGTGTACCCCTGGTGGTGGTACCCCTAAACCTTAAGTCCTCTTAAGGTTTCCCATCGTCAATAAAACGGTCAATATAAAGTGCCTTTATCCTAACCTACCAGAGGACCCAAAACAGAAAACGGAAGAGTACGTCACTTTCGCCAGCCGCTTCCATTTTCTAGTACGACAATTTTTTGGTACTATGTAACGCCTACGTGCGAAAAGCGACGTTCTCTGTAAGAGAACAGTGTTAGTGACCGCCTTCAGGCTCGTGGGACGCTAATCCTTGACGGACCTGGTCGGTTAGGCAATTATTTTGTAAATATAAGTGGAAGATATTTGTGAATGTTGTAGCGCCATAATGTGTTAAGTCAGGATGTGTGGCAGGAATATTGTGTGTGAGGGAGGAGGAGGAGTAAGAGGTGCGGCGTGTTGGTGGCCACAACTCTGGAAACACAAACCGAAACTGTCTATTTTCCGCTTGTTACAACTTGTAATAAAGTTGTTCCATCTTGGCTTAACGTGTTTATGACGTATTAGAACGTTGTTACAACTTGCTATATTGGATGTTGTAACTGGTTAGGTGGTGTTAAAACTTGTTCCAACGTTGTACCAACGTCGTAGTTTGGTATGTGTTTGGCGGGAACCTGACTCCTCATAACCCAGCGTCACCCTCCCTACTCCACGGTAATCATCACAGGAAACTGCTAAGCCATTGTGGACTAAATACCACTTGGGTGGGATACAAGTATTAGGGTTCGGGATAAAGCGGAGGAAAGGAACGCTGCCCGACCATTTGGGACCTCGGGGATTAAACGCCGACCTGCAAACAGCGAGGCCGTCGCTGTACCGACCACCTTCAGTGGTTGGGTTCCGGCTGCCAACCGGCTTCCATATGGTGCTTAGTTCTCTAAGGAATTACCTATCTTAACACTTTTATGACTGGCTTCTAATACTGCTCAGCTAACCACTGACGTAACAATGATGGACTCAAGAGCACCAATTGGGCACTCAGGAATCACATATTACTTTACACACAAAAAACAGAATATCTAGTGAGAGTCGATGACGTCACGAGAGTCGTAAAATACCAATCAGGGAACGATGATTAAGTTCGTGCGGGACTTAACTTGTAATGTGTGGAAGTGAACCAGCGCCGCTGTGGTGGCCGCTGAGGCCCCTACGGGCAACCCGTTCTCGCACTTTCTTATAGTCAATATTGACTTATTAAATACGTGCATATGTGACATACTAATTTATTGTGACTATTTTAGTTTACCTTGAAAAGCTTCATAGAAAACATCGACCTTACCTAACCTTCTTAGTATGTTAAGATAAGCATCTTATTGCTTCGTAATTACAATTATTACTTAATCTATACCTATAATAGGTTAAGTAATAATATTACTTATTGAGACATATTGAGTACTTGGCCGGTACCAAGGACTCTGGTACAAGTTGGAGGTATTACCAGGCAACATTACTGTGACAAGGTAACCGAGGCCAGGAGGAGGAGAGAGGAACACATCAGTGAGGGGAAACACCCGAGAGAGTGAGGGAGAGTGTCTACAACATTAATATCCTTCAACACTCAGGACGGAGGTAACAAGTGAGCACCGGAGTTGTTCTGTGGTGAGGGAGAGAGCCTTAACCTGGCACACTGTGCACCCCCATCTGACGGACTGTGCACCCCCATCTGGGGGACTGTGCACCCCATCTGACGGACTGTGCACCCCCATCTGACGGACTGTGCACCCCCATCTGACGGACTGTGCACCCCCATCTGACGGACTGTGCACCCCCATCTGACGGACTGTGCACCCCCATCTGACGGACTGTGCACCCCCATCTGACGGACTGTGCACCCCCATCTAAGAGACTGTGCACCCCATCTAAGAGACATTAGAATTACGTGTATAATAATAAACCCCACATTGTTTGAGTTCGGGTAAACAGCATTTGTCACCTATACATAATGTTCTTATGAAGTATACATAATGTTCTTATAAAGTATACATACTATTCTTATAAGTATACATACTGTTCTTATAAGTATAATGTTCTTATAAGTATACATAATGTTCTTATAAGTATACATAATGTTCTTATAAGATGCCCCAATTTACACCCATAAGATAAGTTAAATGGTTGGTAAATGTGAACCTTCTTGCCTGATAAACTGTTCACTTGAGACAGTTAAGCAAGTCCCAGCTGTGTCTGGGACTTGCTTGTTCATCCTCTGGCCTGTGCTCCCTGTCCTGCACAAACCAGAGGATGAACAACCCAGCGTGTTCCTCCCCTAATGGCAGATATTGAACATGTTATAGCGGTGTTCACTCACCAGTAAACTCGCCCCGAGGGGAGAACTTGAACAAATTATTACAACATAAGTTAAGGCATAAATGTATCGCTGACATACCTGGTACCTGGTTCCGTCACTTATACGTCTGTTGCTCTACTGGTGCCCGTTACCTCTGTTGCTCTACTGGTGCCCGTTACCTCTGTTGCTCTACTGGTGCCCGTTACCTCTGTTGCTCTACTGGTGCCCGCTACCTCTGTTGCTCTACTGGTGCCCGCTACCTCTGTTGCTCTACTGGCGCCCGTTACCTCTGTTGCTCTACTGGTGCCCGTTACCTCTGTTGCTCTACTGGTGCACGTTACCTCTGTTGCTCTACTGGTGCCCGTTACCTCTGTTGCTCTACTGGTGCACGTTACCTCTGTTGCTCTACTGGTGCACGTTACCTCTGTTGCTCTACTGGCGCCCGTTACCTCTGTTGCTCTACTGGTGCCCGTTACCTCTGTTGCTCTACTGGTGCCCGTTACCTCTGTTGCTCAACTGACGTAGTAGTGAGTTGCTCATGTAGTTGCAACCGACCATTAACCACCTACAATAAGAGGACCATTAACCACCTACAATATGAGGACCATTAACCACCAACAATAAGAGGACCATTAACCAGGTAACCACCAACAATAAGAGGACCATTAACCACCAACAATAAGAGGACCATTAACCACCTACAATAAGAGGACCATTAACCAGGTAACCACCTACAATAAGAGGACCATTAACCACCTACAATAAGAGGACCATTAACCACCTACAATAAGAGGACCATTAACCACCAACAATAAGAGGACCATTAACCAGGTAACCACCAACAATAAGAGGACCATTAACCACCTACAATAAGAGGACCATTAACCAGGTAACCACCTACAATAAGAGGACCATTAACCACCTACAATAAGAGGACCATTAACCAGGTAACCACCAACAATAAGAGGACCATTAACCACCAACAATAAGAGGACCATTAACCACCAACAATAAGAGGACCATTAACCACCTACAATAAGAGGACCATTAACCAGGTAACCACCAACAATAAGAGGACCATTAACCACCTACAATAAGACCATTAACCACCAACAATAAGGACCATTAGGACCATTAACCACCAACAATAAGACCATTAACCAGGTAACCACCTACAATAACCACCAACAATAAGAGGACCATTAACCAGGTAACCACCTACAATAAGAGGACCATTAACCACCAACAATAAGAGGACCATTAACCACCAACAATAAGAGGACCATTAACCACCTACAATAAGAGGACCATTAACCAGGTAACCACCTACAATAAGAGGACCATTAACCACCAACAATAAGAGGACCATTAACCAGGTAACCACCTACAATAAGAGGACCATTAACCACCAATAATAAGAGGACCATTAACCACCAACAATAAGAGGACCATTAACCAGGTAACCACCAACAATAAGAGGACCATTAACCACCTACAATAAGAGGACCATTAACCACCAACAATAAGAGGACCATTAACCACCTACAATAAGAGGACCATTAACCAGGTAACCACCTACAATAAGAGGACCATTAACCACCTACAATAAGAGGACCATTAACCAGGTAACCACCTACAATAAGAGGACCATTAACCAGGTAACCACCAACAATAAGAGGACCATTAACCACCAACAATAAGAGGACCATTAACCACCAACAATAAGAGGACCATTAACCAGGTAACCACCTACAATAAGAGGACCATTAACCACCAACAATAAGAGGACCATTAACCAGGTAACCACCTACAATAAGAGGACCATTAACCACCAACAATAAGAGGACCATTAACCAGGTAACCACCTACAATAAGAGGACCATTAACCACCAACAATAAGAGGACCATTAACCAGGTAACCACCAACAATAAGAGGACCATTAACCACCAACAATAAGAGGACCATTAACCACCTACAATAAGAGGACCATTAACCAGGTAACCACCAACAATAAGAGGACCATTAACCACCAACAATAAGAGGACCATTAACCACCTACAATAAGAGGACCATTAACCACCTACAATAAGAGGACCATTAACCACCTACAATAAGAGGACCATTAACCAGGTAACCACCAACAATAAGAGGACCATTAACCAGGTAACCACCAACAATAAGAGGACCATTAACCAGGTAACCACCAACAATAAGAGGACCATTAACCACCTACAATAAGAGGACCATTAACCACCTACAATAAGAGGACCATTAACCAGGTAACCACCTACAATAAGAGAACCATTAACCAGTAATTACAGAAGCAGGTGTGCCAGAGAAAACTGATGGAGTTAAGAAGGCTGATGTTAGAGGCGGGGACCAGGAGCTAGACGTCACCAATGCAGTTCCCGCGAGCAAGCAGTGGAGGCGCTGTCACCGAGTTGACAGTCCACTGGCTGTCACCGAGTTGACAGTCCACTGGCTGTCACCGAGTTGACAGTCCACTGGCTGTCACCGAGTTGACAGTCCACTGGCTGTCACCGAGTTGACAGTCCACTGGCTGTCAACTCTTGCGTGGAGATTTCCCTGTGTGGCAGAGTTGCCAAGTAGCACCAGAGGAGCAATTTTACACTGAAAGTTTGAGTGACAAGTGTTGGTAACTGGAGGTGTAGTGTGATGCGGTGAGTGGTCAGGCTGCGGGCCGGTACATTGCCAGGGGCCAGAGTCACGAAGCAGTTACGCAAGTACGTACGAACCTGTACATCTTTCCTCAATCTTTGACGGCTTTGGTTACATTTATTAAACAGTTTACAAGCATGAAAACTTGCCAATCAACTGTTGTTATTGTTATAAACAGCCTCCTGGTGCTTCGGAGCTCATTAATGGTTTAATAATTGTAAACAAAGCCGCCAAAGATCGAGAAAAGATGTACAGGTTCGTAAGTGTTCGTGTAACTGGTTCGTGTAACTGGTTCGTAACTGTTGGGTAGTGGGAGTCACTCTCAACACCAAAGCCGGTCCACACTACACCGTGGAGTTAATTTTTAGAGACCGAAATGTTCTTTAATGCATATTCATTGCGTATTCGGCAACCCGTCCTCGACCCAAGTCTATTCCATCCAGCGGTCGACCCCACAGACGCATTCATAAACTTTTACATGCTGTTCATTCAAAACGGGAATTTTCTCAAATATAAATTAATATTATAATATATTAGCATATTGTGCATATATAGGTATAGGATAGGTTAGGTCAGGTGTTTAGGTTCTGTTGACGATTATTTGTAGTACGTGGGTGAAGCATTTATAGCGTTGTAGTTCGAACAAAATTCGTCAGTGAAGCACTTGTTCCGGAAGTGTTCGGACGTCAACAGTTCTGAGTCGTGTGTAAACCGCTTTTCATTCATAAACAGCTGGGGGGTTGGGGGGTTGGCGGGTGGATGGAATCACTTTTGGGTCTTTGGAGGACGACAGTTTCGTGAAGCGTCTGCCACGTGTACATTGGTGTCGGGAAAGCAAAGTAGAAAACCCCACAGACCGCTTAAGTGCCCAAAGATTATTTCAGTGTTTGGTCTATGTGTCTACATACACCATTTAATGTGTTGATAACATTTATTATCGTTATCGAGCACATTTATGTAGCGTTAGAGAATATATCTTGGCTGTTATTACCACTATATTCGTCAGTAGAGTTCTGTGTATACGAGGCTATAGTACATGGTTATGTCGTTCCTTATATCTTTTTATCTATGTTGTTCCAAAATGTTCCTTTCCTTCTGTGGCCCTGGTACTGTGAGGGGCGAGAGCGGGGTACCCTGGTACTGTGAGGGGGCGAGAGCGGGGAACCCTGGTACTGTGAGGGGCGAGAGCGGGGTACCCTGGTACTGTGAGGGGCGAGAGCGGGGTACCCTGGTACTGTGAGGGGCGAGAGCGGGGTACCCTGGTACTGTGAGGGGCGAGAGCGGGGTACCCTGGTACTGTGAGGGGCGAGAGCGGGGTACCCTGGTACTGTGAGGGGCGAGAGCGGGGTACCCTGGTACTGTGAGGGGCGAGAGCGGGGTACCCTGGTACTGTGAGGGGCGAGAGCGGGGTACCCTGGTACTGCGAGGGGCGAGAGCGGGGTACCCTGGTACTGTGAGGGGCGAGAGCGGGGTACCCTGGTACTGTGAGGGGCGAGAGCGGGGTACCCTGGTACTGTGAGGGACGAGAGCGGGGTACCCTGGTACTGTGAGGGACGAGAGCGGGGTACCCTGGTACTGTGAGGGGCGAGAGCGGGGTACCAGCACCCAGTGTAGAGGTGAGACAACCCTAACACAGGTGAGTGGGGGATCTATTGATATTAAGGGAGCACCTAAGTGAACCAGGAGCCGGTCACTAGGGCGCTGGCTCCTGTGTGTCTACACATGGCACCAGTCAGGTTAGTCCTGGAAGACACACGTGTATATAGAAGACATTTTCAAGGCCACGAAGGACACCTGACCCTAGTGTGCCCTGGGAGCTCACACAGGAGACCCTAGTGTGCCCTGGGAGCTCACACAGGAGACCCTAGTGTGCCCTGGGAGCTCACACAGGAGACCCTAGTGTGCCCTGGGAGCTCACACAGGAGACCCTAGTGTGCCCTGGGAGCTCACACAGGAGACCCTAGTGTGCCCTGGGAGCTCACACAGGAGACCCTAGTGTGCCCTGGGAGCTCACACAGGAGACACTAGTGAGTCGGTAGGCCAAGTGTACTCAGCTTGAGTGTGTTCCTTGTGAGGCAGTGAGTGCGGTGCGGCCAGGGGTGAGAGCCTCACTGTACAGCCAGGGTATTGTGCGGCCTCATTACCACACAGTAATGGTGGTGAGAGTGCGTCCAAGGTAGTTACCCGGCGGCCACGACCACTTGCCTGCTCTCACAGCCAGAGTGTCCCAACAGTTAACATGAGTCCTGTCTATGGTGACCCCCGACCGTGTTTACTGTGTGAGGTCCCCGTTCATACCCATCACCCAGTCTCTCTAACAGTAGGTTGTCTAATGTACTGGCCCCCGACCTATTGTGTATCATATCTACATATATCTCTCTCGCGCACACACACAGGGTTGTGTGTGTGTGTGATCAGTGTTGCGAGTGTGTGTGTGTGTTGTTGGGATCGAACTGTCGAAAACCCAACACATTTAAAATAGGTTTGTCCTGTAAGTGCTTTTCTTATGCTTTGTAATCCAACTGGATACTTTAATTTTTTTCAGGTGTCAGCCTCAGCATGACCTATTGTCAGGTGCGACACACTTAAGTCTCCGAGATCTGACCGAGGACAAGAAATAATTTTGGAGAAGACTAATGGATATATTCAGCTATATCTAAAACACGGAGGTACATTACATGTACAGTTAAAGATATAGATATATCTCATATATATATATATATATATATATATATATATATATATATATATATATATATATATATATATATATAGACACTGTACTTGTATGTACAGTAATATATACACCCAAACCTTATGTATATGCCAATGAGATGGCCGCCACTCGTCAGTCGATTCAACTCTTAAGGACCATCTACTTCTCGGACTGGGTCCAATAATCCTGAACAGCGGTAGATTTCCGAGACGTCATAAGGAGTGGACCATGCCGCTACGTGCTAAGGTCCGTGTCGCTGGAGGTGTGGAACACTGTCACAGCCGGGGGCCAACTGGTCACACACACACCACGACGGCATGTCCACCGGATGGGAGTGAGTAGAGTACTGTTCAGTTCATGCAGTCCGTCCTCCAAACAAAGATCCAAAAGTGATTCCATCCACCCGCCAAACCCCCCAGCTGTTTATGAATGAAAAGCGGTTTACACACGACTCAACTGCTGACGTTCGAACATATCCGGAACAAGTGCTTCACTGACGAATTTTGTTCGAATCACAACGCTATAAATGCTTCACCCACGTACTACAAATACAAATAATCGCCAACAGAACCTAAACACCTAACCTAACCTATACCTATATATGCACAATATGTTAATATATTATAATATTAATTTATACTTGCGAAAATTTCCGTTTTGAATGAACAGCATGTTAAAATTTATGAATGCGTCTGTGGGGTCGACCGCTGAATGTAATGGACTTGAGTCGAGGACGGGTTTGTTCATGCTCTGACCAGCACTCATTACCTCGCCCGGTGACTCTGATTGGCTAACAATTCCCGCCACCAGACGAGCCACACCGTGCTGACCGTTAACGACCTTCCCGGTCGTTAACCTTGTTCTCCCTCTAATATTGAAAGTATTACTATTAAATAACAGTGCCATTTTATGCGACGCAATAACACGATAAGGCATTCCGTAACAGTGTCGACAGGGTAGATAAAGACAGTCTATTTAACACCAGGGGAACACGCACTAGGGGACACAGGTGGAAACTGAGTGCCCAAATGAGCCACAGAGATATTAGAAAGAACTTTTTTAGTGTCAGAGTGGTTGACAAATGGAATGCATTAGGAAGTGATGTGGTGGAGGCTGACTCCATACACAGTTTCAAGTGTAGATATGATAGAGCCCAATAAGCTCAGGAATCTGTACACCTGTTGGTTGACAGTTAAGAGGCGGGACCAAAGAGCCAGAGCTCAACCCCCGCAAGCACAACTAGGTGAGTACATCCTCAAGATGCAGCCGGCAACAGCTGTCTAACTGCTAGGTACCTGTCTACTGCTGTTTCTGTCTCCACCGGAAATCGAACCCGGGTCCGCGGACTGTGACTTCTCCACACCCCACCGCCTCGTGTCTATGTCACACTGCTCCACACCCCACCGCCTCGTGTCTGTGCCACACTGCTCCACACCCCACCGCCCCGTGTCTGTGCCACACTGCTCCACACTCCACCGCCTCGTGTCTATGCCACACTTCTCCATTAAACTCGGGAATAAAGCCATAGAGCCGCCGCGTCCGGGAAACAGAGGACTGTTTACACTTCCTTCTCTTGCAACGGTTCTCTGAACGCTTCCCGTTCCTTGGCTGTTTTGTCCTTGTAATATGTCTCTTATTGTCTGGCCGCCCCCCCCCCCCCCGCGGCTCTGGGGCCCCCACCAGCTCTGGGGCCCCCCCACCAGCTCTGGGGCCCCCCCACCAGCTCTGGGGCCCCCCACCAGCTCTGGGGCCCCCCACCAGCTCTGGGCCCCCCCCACCAGCTCTGGGGCCCCCCCCACCAGCTCTGGGCCCCCCCCCACCAGCTCTGGGGCCCCCCCCACCAGCTCTGGGGCCCCCCCACCAGCTCTGGGCCCCCCCACCAGCTCTGGGGGCCCCCCCCACCAGCTCTGGGGGCCCCCCCCCACCAGCTCTGGGCCCCCCCCCCACCAGCTCTGGGGCCCCCCCCCACCAGCTCTGGGGCCCCCCCCCACCAGCTCTGGGGCCCCCCCCACCAGCTCTGTGGCCCCCCACCAGCTCTGTGGCCCCCCACCAGCTCTGGGGGCCCCCCCACCAGCTCTGGGGGCCCCCCCACCAGCTCTGGGGGCCCCCCCCACCAGCTCTGGGGGCCCCCCCCCACCAGCTCTGGGGGCCCCCCCACCAGCTCTGGGGCCCCCCCCCACCAGCTCTGGGGCCCCCCCACCAGCTCTGGGGCCCCCCCCCACCAGCTCTGGGGCCCCCCCACCAGCTCTGGGGCCCCCCCACCAGCTCTGGGGCCCCCCCCACCAGCTCTGGGGCCCCCCCCACCAGCTCTGGGGCCCCCCCCACCAGCTCTGGCCCCCCCCCCACCAGCTCTGGGGGCCCCCCCCACCAGCTCTGGGGGCCCCCCCCCACCAGCTCTGGGGGCCCCCCCACCAGCTCTGTGGCCCCCCACCAGCTCTGGCCCCCAACCTCACTCTTTCCACTGCTTGAATTGACTTTTTTCAGTTTCCCCCCTTGCATTGATTTTGTCATGTTGGTGGGGGTTCCCCTTACATAAGGTGTCATGATGGTGGGGGTTCCCCTTACATAAGGTGTCATGTTGGTGGGGGTTCCCCTTACATAAGGTGTCATGATGGTGGGGGTTCCCCTTTCATAAGGTGTCATGATGGTGGGGGTTCCCCTTACATAAGGTGTCATGATGGTGGGGGTTCCCCTTACATAAGGTGTCATGATGGTGGGGGTTCCCTTACATAAGGTGTCATGTTGGTGGGGGTTCCCCTTACATAAGGTGTCATGTTGGTGGGGTTTCCCCTTACATAAGGTGTCATGTTGGTGGGGTTTCCCCTTACATAAGGTGTCATGTTGGTGGGGTTTCCCCTTACATAAGGTGTCATGTTGGTGGGGGTTCCCCTTACATAAGGTGTCATGTTGGTGGGGGTTCCCCTTACATAAGGTGTCATGTTGGTGGGGGTTCCCCTTACACAAGGTGTCATGATGGTGGGGGTTCCCCTTACATAAGGTGTCATGTTGGTGGGGGTTCCCCTTACACAAGGTGTCATGATGGTGGGGGTTCCCCTTACATAAGGTGTCATGTTGGTGGGGGTTCCCCTTACATAAGGTGTCATGTTGGTGGGGTTTCCCCTTACATAAGGTGTCATGATGGTGGGGGTTCCCCTTACATAAGGTGTCATGTTGGTGGGGGTTCCCCTTACATAAGGTGTCATGTTGGTGGGGTTTCCCCTTACATAAGGTGTCATGTTGGTGGGGTTTCCCCTTACATTCCCCTTACATAAGGTGTCATGTTGGTGGGGGTTCCCCTTACATAAGGTGTCATGTTGGTGGGGGTTCCCCTTACATAAGGTGTCATGTTGGTGGGGGTTCCCCTTACATAAGGTGTCATGTTGGTGGGGGTTCCCCTTACATAAGGTGTCATGTTGGTGGGGGTTCCCCTTACATAAGGTGTCATGTTGGTGGGGGTTCCCCTTACATAAGGTGTCATGTTGGTGGGGGTTCCCCTTACATAAGGTGTCATGTTGGTGGGGGCCGGCGGCACTGACCGACACAAGAGGTGACACACTGGTAGGATGGTGTCTCACTTGTCCCTGGCGCCGATGACAGGAGTGTTGTGTGGACTTTTTCCTGACTCACAGTTCCTCTGTTGATCTGTTCTCCACGTGTGTGTTGTTGTTATTGTTTCTTTGTACTCACCTAGTTGTGCTTGCAGGGTCGAGCATTACCTCTTGGACCTTTTATTTCCAGTCGGCGGTTGTCAAGTGCAATATGGCTCCCAACTAGTTTTTCTATAAAAATTATAAGGAACAGATATATATAATTGTACTCACCTGAATGTGTTAACATCAGCTCCCGGCAAAAACAGTAAGTTAAGGGTCCTCTGGTAGGTTAGGTGGGCAGGAAATTCTCAAAGTTTCAAAACTTTATAAAAAACGTTAATTGAAAGTTTCCTCTCCTAACCTTTCCGAGTAGGCCGGACGACTCAAACAGAAAACGAGACAGTACGTCACTTTTGTGAGTTGATTTCATTTCAAATTACGTCCACTTTTGGCCATAGCGCCGCGCAGACCAGCTAAAAGCGACGTTATTTCTAAGAGGACGGGTTGCCCCCTGACAGCGGCTTTCAGTCATCGGTTGACAGAGGTTCAGACAGGCCTTGAGGTTCCGCGGCACTGAACACACACCTATTGAAACTGATGGCACTCGACCCTCAACTAATTGTTTCTAATCATACCTGCTTTTGAAATTGCGTGGCCTTATAGCCTTGTCTGCCTCCCACTGCTCTTGCTCACTTCTCTTACGCTGAAGAAGTGTTTTCTTCCCTCCCCCCAAGTGTAGCAGCGTGTACCCGCCGACGTCGACGTGGTTACTACAAGCTCTGGTTGTTGTATGTTACTACAACCTCTCTTGTAGGCAACTACAACTCTGGTTGTTGTGTGTAACTTAGAGATTTTGTTGTCAAGTAAATGTGGTGAATAAGTCTACGTGAAGAGCTAAGTAGGCCTATGATGATAGGCTCAGATTTGACACATATTGCGGCTTGGTTAAGAGTTTATGAACGATTGATACGTCTTGGGAGGAGGTTGTTGGAGCACCTTCAGTGTTAAGGCTGTTGGTGGTGCTGACACTTGACTGTGTAGGCCAAGACCAGCGTCTGGTGGTGCTGACACTTGACTGTGTAGGCCTAGACCAGTGTCTGGTGGTGCTGACACTTGACTGTGTAGGCCTAGACCAGTGTCTGGTGGTGCTGACACTTGACTGTGTAGGCCTAGACCAGTGTCTGGTGGTGCTGACACTTGACTGTGTAGGCCAAGACCAGCGTCTGGTGGTGCTGACACTTGACTGTGTAGGCCTAGACCAGTGTCTGGTGGTGCTGACACTTGACTGTGTAGGCCTAGACCAGTGTCTGGTGGTGCTGACACTTGACTGTGTAGGCCAAGACCAGCGTCTGGTGGTGCTGACACTTGACTGTGTAGGCCTAGACCAGTGTCTGGTGGTGCTGACACTTGACTGTGTAGGCCAAGACCAGCGTCTGGTGGTGCTGACACTTGACTGTGTAGGCCAAGACCAGCGTCTGGTGGTGCTGACACTTGACTGTGTAGGCCTAGACCAGTGTCTGGTGGTGCTGACACTTGACTGTGTAGGCCTAGACCAGTGTCTGGTGGTGCTGACACTTGACTGTGTAGGCCTAGACCTGCGTCTGGTGGTGCTGACACTTGACTGTGTAGGCCAAGACCAGCGTCTGGTGGTGCTGACACTTGACTGTGTAGGTCAAGACCAGCGTCTGGTGGTGCTGACACTTGACTGTGTAGGTCAAGACCAGCGTCTGGTGGTGCTGACACTTGGCCGTGTAGGCCTAGACCTGCGTCTGGTGGTGCTGACACTTGACCGTGTAGGCCAAGACCTGCGTCTGGTGGTGCTGACACTTGACCGTGTAGGCCAAGACCTGCGTCTGGTGGTGCTGACACTTGACCGTGTAGGCCAAGACCAGCGTCTGGTGGTGCTGACACTTGACCGTGTAGGCCAAGACCTGCGACGTTGTGAGACACTAAGCGGGGAGTCATAAACAATTTAAACATTCACTTACGAAACCTGTACATCTTGCAACATGGCCGCTTTGTTTAAAAAGTTTACCAAGTGCTCATGTGAACATCGACGTTGTGTTTCAAAGTTTATTAATGTTTAATAACTGTAAAGCCAGCCGCCAATATTGAGGAAAGATGTACTGGTTCCGTTAGTTGATGAATAAATGGTTGATTAACACAAGGAAATATTTTAGCTGATTGATTATTAATTTATGTCGCGGGTGAAGCAGTGACAGAGCTTGGCACAGTCACAACATGGTGACAGTGACAGAGCTTGGCACAGTCACAACATGGTGACAGTGACAGAGCTTGGCACAGTCACAACATGGTGACAGTGACAGAGCTTGGCACAGTCACAACATGGTGACAGTGACAGAGCTTGGCACAGTCACAACATGGTGACAGTGACAGAGCTTGGCACAGTCACACCATGGTGACAGTGACAGAGCTTGGCACAGTCACACCATGGTGACAGTGACAGAGCTTGGCACAGTCACACCATGGTGACAGTGACAGAGCTTGGCACAGTCACACCATGGTGACAGTGACAGAGCTTGGCACAGTCACACCATGGTGACAGTGACAGAGCTTGGCACAGTCACAACCCAACATGGTGAAGAACGAATATAAAACCAAGATCAAAATAGTTTTAACAAGGCACAACCTGTGAGCCTGGGTCGGGGTGAGTGGTTCAGACCACTGAGGCTGGCTAACACAAGTGACTGTCTCCCACGGCTCTGAACCCCTGGACCTCGCTGGACTAGTGGCGGTGAAACAGTTTGGGCAATGTTATCTGTCTTCCCACGTGGGTTGGAACCACAAGCACTTACAACACACGCACTCGCAACACGCGCACTCGCAACACGCGCACTCGCAACACGCGCACTCGCAACACGCGCACTCGCAACACGCGCACTCGCAACACGCGCACTCGCAACACGCGCACTCGCAACACGCGCACTCGCAACACGCGCACTCGCAACACGCGCACTCGCAACACGCGCACTCGCAACACACGCACTCGCAACACACGCACTCGCAACACACGCACTCGCAACACACGCACTCGCAACACACGCACTCGCAACACACGCACTCGCAACACACGCACTCGCAACACACGCACTCGCAACACACGCACTCGCAACACACGCACTCGCAACACACGCACTCGCAACACACGCACTCGCAACACACGCACTCGCAACACACGCACTCGCAACACACGCACTCGCAACACACGCACTCGCAACACACGCACTCGCAACACACGCACTCGCAACACACGCACTCACAACACACGCACTCACAACACACGCACTCACAACACACGCACTCACAACACACGCACTCACAACACACGCACTCACAACACACGCACTCACAACACACGCACTCACAACACCACCATTCACAACACCACCATTCACAACACCACCATTCACAACACCACCATTCACAACCCCCCCTATTCACAACCCCCCACCATTCACAACACCACCACCATTCACAACACCACCACCATTCACAACACCATCATTCACAACATCATTCACAACCCCCCCATTCATAACCCCACCACCATTCACAACCCCCCCATTCACAACACCATTCACAACCCCACCACCATTCACAGCCCCACCACCATTCACAACCCCACCACCATTCACAACACCATTCACAACCCCCCATTCACAACCCCCCCATTCACAACACCATTCACAACCCCATCACCATTCACAATACCACCACCATTCACAACCCCCCCATTCACATCCCCACCACCATTCACAACCCCACCACCATTCACAACCCCACCACCATTCACAACACCATTCACAATCCCCCATTCACAACCCCCCATTCACAACACCATTCACAACCCCATCACCATTCACAATACCACCACCATTCACAACCCCCTATTCACATCCCCACCACCATTCACAACCCCACCACCATTCACAACCCCACCACCATTCACAACACTACCACCACACCATTCACAACACCATTCACACCAACACCATTCACAACACCATTCACAACCTCACCACCATTCACAACACCATTCACAACCCCCCCCCCACCTACACAACACGGAGAGCTCAACACTCCCAGTAAAGAAGTTCGGAGGTTCTGAATGTATTGAATTTCTATTTGAAAGTCATACTTCACTCTCCTGGACCTGACGACGCTCCAGGAGGTGGGAAATGGAATTTTAACACACGCGCTCAAACATGTCCACACACATGCACGCGCACACGCACACACACACACACACACACACGGCCACACACACACACACGGCCCCGCGCGCACACACACACACACACACACACACATGCCTGCACACACACACACACACACATGGGAATGCGCCGGTGGGTTGACCCGACCACGGCCGCTGGAACGCCATCCAGCAGGACGGCCTCGTAGCCTGGTGGATAGGGGCCTCGTAGCCTGGTGGATAGGGGCCTCGTAGCCTGGTGGATAGGGGCCTCGTAGCCTGGTGGATAGGGGCCTCGTAGCCTGGTGGATAGCGCGCAGGATTCGTAATTCTGTGGCGCGGGTTCGATTCCCGCACGAGGCAGAAACAAATGGGCAAAAGTTTCTTTCACCCTGAATGCCCCTGTTACCTAGCAGTAAATAGGTACCTGGGAGTTAGTCAGCTGTCACGGGCTGCTTCCTGGGGTGTGTGTGTGTGTGGTGTGGAGGAGAAAAAAAAGGAAAAAAAGTAGTTAGTAAACAGTTGATTGACAGTTGAGAGGCGGGCCGAAAGAGCAAAGCTCAACCCCCGTAAAAACACAACTAGTAAACACATGCCTGCACGCACACACACACACATGCCTACACACACATGCCTGCACACACACACACACACACACACGTGTGACAAAGTGACAAAGGCTATAGGCCCAGATGGAATCTCCCCTTGGGTTCTAAAGGAAGGAGCAAGAGAACTGTGCCTACCACTGTCCATAGTGTATAACAAATCACTGGCAGCAGGGGGAACTGCCAGATATTTGGAAAGCAGCTAACGTAGTCCCGATATACAAGAAAGGGGATAGACAGGAGGCACTGAACTACAGGCCAGTGTCCCTAACCTGCATACCATGCAAGCTGATGGAGAAGATTGTGCGAAGAAAGCTAGTGGAACATCTGGAGCGAAGGAACTTTGTAACACAGCATCAACATGGGTTCAGAGATGGCAGGTCCTGCCTCACAGGGTTACTTGAATTCTACGACCAGGGAACAAAAATAAGACAAGAAAGAGAAGGCTGGGCAGACTGCATATTATTGGATTGTCAGAAAGCCTTTGATACAGTGCCACACAAGAGGCTAGTGCGAAAGTTGGAGATGCAGGCTGGAGTGAAAGGGAAGGTACTCCGGTGGATAGAGGAGTACCTAAGCAACAGGAGACAACGAGTCTGTGTGAGGGGTGAGGTCTCAGACTGGCGAGACGTTACAAGTGGAGTCCCGCAGGAGTCAGTCCTTGGACCTATACTGTTTCTGATATATGTAAATAATCTCCCAGAGGAACAAGGGGACACAGGTGGAAACTGAGTACCCAAATGAGCCACAGAGACATTAGAAAGAACTTTTTCAGTTTCAGAGTAGTTAGTAAATGGAATGCATTAGGAAGTGATGTGGTGGAGGCTGACTCCATACACAGTTTCAAATGTAGATATGATAGAGCCCAGTAGGCTCAGGAATCTGTACACCAGTTGATTGACAGTTGAGAGGCGGGACCAAAGAGCCAGAGCTCAGCCCCCGCAAGCACAAATAGGTGAGTACAATTAGGTGATTACACACACACACACACACACACACACACACACACACACACACCAAAAAAAAGAGAAAGAGAGGAGGTGGGATGGGAAGTGACAGAGGACAGGACGGGGAGTCTCTTGTGGTGAAGAGTCACCTGGTGTGTAGAGATCACTGTAGAGGAGACCACCAGTAGTGAGCACTGTGTCACGGGGATCATTACAGTGAACACTGTGGTTGTGGCTCTAGTTTACAGTCTCCAGAGACTCCTAGAACAACCCAGGCAGGATGAGTGGTGTTGGGGTATGTGTGCCCAACAGTCTCTGGTGGTGTTGGGGGTATGTGTGCCCAACAGTCTCTGGTGGTGTTGGGGTATGTGTGCCCAATAGTCTCTGGTGGTGTTGGGGTTATGTGTGCCCAACAGTTTCTAGTGGTGTTGGGTGTTGGGGTATGTGTGCCCAACAGTCTCTGGTGGTGTTGGGGGTATGTGTGCCCAACAGTCTCTGATGGTGTTGGGGTTATGTGTGCCCAATAGTCTCTGGTGGTGTTGGGGTTATGTGTGCCCAACAGTCTCTGGTGGTGTTGGGGTATGTGTGCCCAACAGTCTCTGGTGGTGTTGGGGGTATGTGTGCATAACAGTCTCTGGTGGTGTTGGGGTTATGTGTGCCCAACAGTCTCTGTAGGTGTTAGGGGTATGTGTGCCCAACAGTCTCTGGTGGTGTTGGGGTATGTGTGCCCAACAGTCTCTGGTGGTGTTGGGGGTATGTGTGCCCAACAGTCTCTGGTGGTGTTGGGGGTATGTGTGCCCAACAGTCTCTGGTGGTGTTGGGGGTATGTGTGCCCAACAGTCTCTGGTGGTGTTGGGGGTATGTGTGCCCAACAGTCTCTGTAGGTGTTAGGGGTATGTGTGCCCAACAGTCTCTGGAGGTGTTGGGGTATGTATGTGTGCCCAACAGTCTCTGGAGGTGTTGGGGTATGTATGTGCCCAACAGTCTCTGGAGGTGTTGGGGTATGTATGTGCCCAACAGTCTCTGGAGGTGTTGGGGTATGTATGTGCCCAACAGTCTCTGGAGGTGTTGGGGTATGTATGTGCCCAACAGTCTCTGGAGGTGTTGGGGGTATGTATGTGCCCAACAGTCTCTGGAGGTGTTGGGGTATGTATGTGCCCAACAGTCTCTGGTGGTGTTGGGGTATGTATGTGCCCAACAGTCTCTGGTGGTGTTGGGGTATGTATGTGCCCAACAGTCTCTGGTGGTGTTGGGGTATGTGTGCCCAACAGTCTCTGGTGGTGTTGGGGTATGTGTGCCCAACAGTCTCTGGTGGTGTTGGGGTATGTGTGCCCAACAGTCTCTGGTGGTGTTGGGGGTATGTGTGCCCAACAGTCTCTGGTGGTGTTGGGGGTATGTGTGCCCAACAGTCTCTGGTGGTGTTGGGGGTATGTGTGCCCAACAGTCTCTGGTGGTGTTGGGGGTATGTGTGCCCAACAGTCTCTGGTGGTGTTGGGGGTATGTGTGCCCAACAGTCTCTGGTGGTGTTGGGGGTATGTGTGCCCAACAGTCTCTGGTGGTGTTGGGGGTATGTGTGCCCAACAGTCTCTGGTGGTGTTGGGGGTATGTGTGCCCCACAGTCTCTGGTGGTGTTGGGGGTATGTGTGCCCAACAGTCTCTGGTGGTGTTGGGGGTATGTGTGCCCAACAGTCTCTGGTGGTGTTGGGGGTATGTGTGCCCAACAGTCTCTGGTGGTGTTGGGGGTATGTGTGCCCAACAGTCTCTGGTGGTGTTGGGGGTATGTGTGCCCAACAGTCTCTGGTGGTGTTGGGGGTATGTGTGCCCAACAGTCTCTGGTGGTGTTGGGGGTATGTGTGCCCAACAGTCTCTGGTGGTGTTGGGGTATGTGTGCCCAACAGTCTCTGGTGGTGTTGGGGTATGTGTGCCCAACAGTCTCTGGTGGTGTTGGGGTATGTGTGCCCAACAGTCTCTGGTGGTGTTGGGGTATGTGTGCCCAACAGTCTCTGGTGGTGTTGGGGTATGTGTGCCCAACAGTCTCTGGTGGTGTTGGGGTATGTGTGCCCAACAGTCTCTGGTGGTGTTGGGGGTATGTGTGCCCAACAGTCTCTGGTGGTGTTGGGGGTATGTGTGCCCAACAGTCTCTGGTGGTGTTGGGGGTATGTGTGCCCAACAGTCTCTGGTGGTGTTGGGGGTATGTGTGCCCAACAGTCTCTGGTGTTGGGGGTATGTGTGCCCAACAGTCTCTGGTGGTGTTGGGGTATGTATGTGCCCAACAGTCTCTGGAGGTGTTGGGGGTATGTGTGCCCAACAGTCTCTGGAGGTGTTGGGGGTATGTGTGCCCAACAGTCTCGATACTTTTGTTCAGTCGGTGGCTGATTGGTTACAGTACTGTACATATCAAGAGATGTGGAGGCCCTGCTTTACCGGGTTCGAATCCTTCAGTTGTGAATAGTATATATATATATATATATATATATATATATATATATATATATATATATATATATATATATATATATATATATATATATATATATATATATATATATATATATATATACATACATACATACATACATACATACATAGATTCATTGAATATAACTGCACATTCTGTATTTATTTTTTTCTTGTTTAGGGCTTCTCTCCCTCTGACTAGTGCTCTAGCATCTTGGTTTAACTGGAAGAGAAGTTCTCCTAAAGTCATCTTCGTGTGAGGTGAACAAAAAGAAATAAACAACTGTAGAAACCATTACACTTATTATAAAATTACACAACGTTTCGAACCTACATGGTTCATTCTCAAGTGATAGGGAATTACAAATCATGTAGAATTTTACTAATATTGGATCAGGTGAAGACAAGTAGACCAATACAAATGGGTCAAGAATAAGGCATACAGGGAGGAAAAGGTAAGGCATCAAGTTTAAAGCCTTTAGAGGAAATGGCCATAAATGTCCGATCCCTCATACAACGATTATTGAGGTGTTGTGGGCGTGGCATGTTGAGCAGCCCTGCCCAACATGTTACGCCCACTACAAGTGATTAATATTTGTAATCTTATAACACCAACGTTGTCACTCATTATATATAACACCATGATAGCCACTGTCATTATATAATAACAGTGAGGGGCAGGTGACAAGAAGTCCTGTTACTTCAGTAACTTTTAGCTACATGCGAAAATAATTAAAAATTTTGTTAGAGAATTTTAATGGAAGTTGGTTAAGAAAAGTGATAAAGGAAGTTGTGGAAATATCAGTTATGTTGAGGAAATATCAGCTATGTTGAGGAAATATCAGCTATGTTGAGGAAATATCAGCTATGTTGAGGAAATATCAGCTATGTTGAGGAAATATCAGCTATGTTGAGGAAATATCAGTTATGTTGTGGAAATATCAGTTATGTTGTGGAAATATCAGTTATGTTGAGGAAATATCAGCTATGTTGTGGAAATATCAGTTATGTTGTGGAAATATCAGCTATGTTGAGGAAATATCAGCTATGTTGAGGAAATATCAGCTATGTTGAGGAAATATCAGCTATGTTGAGGAAATGTCAGCTATGTTGTGGAAATATCAGCTATGTTGAGGAAATATCAGCTATGTTGTGGAAATATCAGCTATGTTGAGGAAATATCAGTTATGTTGAGGAAATATCAGCTATGTTGTGGAAATATCAGCTATGTTGTGGAAATATCAGCTATGTTGTGGAAATATCAGCTATGTTGTGGAAATATCAGCTATGTTGTGGAAATATCAGTTATGTTGTGGAAATATCAGTTATGTTGAGGAAATATCAGTTATGTTGTGGAAATATCAGTTATGTTGTGGAAATATCAGTTATGTTGTGGAAATATCAGTTATGTTGTGGAAATATCAGCTATGTTGTGGAAATATCAGCTATGTTGTGGAAATATCAGCTATGTTGTGGAAATATCAGCTATGTTGTGGAAATATCAGCTATGTTGTGGAAATATCAGCTATGTTGTGGAAATATCAGCTATGTTGTGGAAATATCAGCTATGTTGTGGAAATATCAGCTATGTTGTGGAAATATCAGCTATGTTGTGGAAATATCAGCTATGTTGTGGAAATATCAGCTATGTTGTGGAAATATCAGCTATGTTGTGGAAATATCAGCTATGTTGTGGAAATATCAGCTATGTTGTGGAAATATCAGCTATGTTGTGGAAATATCAGCTATGTTGTGGAAATATCAGCTATGTTGTGGAAATATCAGCTATGTTGTGGAAATATCAGCTATGTTGTGGAAATATCAGCTATGTTGTGGAAATATCAGCTATGTTGTGGAAATATCAGCTATGTTGTGGAAATATCAGCTATGTTGTGGAAATATCAGCTATGTTGTGGAAATATCAGCTATGTTGAGGAAATATCAGTTATGTTGAGGAAATATCAGCTATGTTGTGGAAATATCAGCTATGTTGTGGAAATATCAGTTATGTTGTGGAAATATCAGCTATGTTGTGGAAATATCAGCTATGTTGAGGAAATATCAGCTATGTTGAGGAAATATCAGCTATGTTGAGGAAATATCAGCTATGTTGTGGAAATATCAGCTATGTTGAGGAAATATCAGCTATGTTGTGGAAATATCAGCTATGTTGAGGAAATATCAGTTATGTTGAGGAAATATCAGTTATGTTGAGGAAATATCAGTTATGTTGTGGTCAACACTACTGGTTACTGTGTGTGTGTGGTGACCTCAGGGGTCACGACACACACAGGGGGTGATGCGAACGTCTCGCCGGGGTTCGATTCCCGGCGCCGGCGAGAAACAAAAATGACAGTTTCTTTCACCCTGATGCACCTGTTATCTAGTAGGAAATAGGTACCTGGGAGTTTGACAGGTGTTACGGGCTGCTGCCTGGGTGTGTGTGTGTGTGTGTGTGTGTGTGGGGGGGGGGGGGGGGGGTGGGGGGGCGGGGGTGAGGTGGGGGGGGGGACCAAAAAATAAAAACAAAATTGATAGAACTTAGTAACAGTTGATTGATTGACAGTTGAGAGGCGGGACGAAAGAGCAGAGCTCAACCCCCGGAATCACAACTAGGTGAGTACGCGCACACGCAACACACGCGCACACACGTTAGGGGGGACATGATCACCACATTCAAGATTCTCAAGGGAATCGACAGGGTTGATAAAGACAGTCTATTTAACACAAGGGGAACACGCACAAGGGGACACAGGTGGAAACTGAGTGCCCAAATGAGCCGCAGAGATATTAGAAAGAACTTTTTTAGTGTCAGTGGTTGACAAATGGAATGCATTAGAAAGTGATGTGGTGGAGGCCGACTCCATATACAGTTTCAAGTGTAGATATTATAGAGCCCAATAGGCTCAGGAGCCTGTACACCTGTTGATTGACGGTTGAGAGGCGGGACCAAAGAGCCAGAACTCCACCCCCGCAAGCACAACTAGGTGAGTACACACACACACACTTCTCTCTCCCCCTTCTCTCGCTCTATCTCTCTATCTCTCTATCTCATAGAGAAGAAAACATGACAGACAAACTCTGGGAGACAAACATGTCAGAAACAGACTGAGAGGAAGGGGAGGGACAGGTTGCCTGAATTAGGGGAACATTGAAAGGAATGTGGAGTAAATTCAGTGAAGGATTGAGGGTAATGAGGGAGGAGGGAGACAGTAACCAGCCTGCAGGATGAACTGAAGGCAGCAAAGAAGGAAATAAGAAGCCTGAAAGAGAATCCTCCCCAATACCAGACACAAACCATCCCTCAGGGAGATGGTAATGTTCCTGTAGAGGGGACTTCTACAATACAATCCTCATTTGCAGAATTGTTTAAAAAGAGTCCTGAAGCTAGGTATGCAGTAAGGGAAGTTGCCATGGAAGTGGCCTCTTCTCAGGAAGCAGCTAGATGTACGAGCTGGCTGATAGAGCGAAAAAGAGCAGTAGTAATAGTAGGCATTAGGGAACAGGGACCAGCCCAGCGGAGAGGAGAGAAGGACAAAAGCAAATTTAATGAGATCCTTAAAGAGGTAAAGAGGGAAAGGGCTGAGCAGATTATTGAAAAGGTTTTCAGGCTAGGACAGTACAACAAGAGAATAGACCGAGTGATAAAGATGGTATTCACGAGCGAGAACACAAAAGAGGACTTGTTAGCAAGGCAGAGCGGACTAGCAAATGTACCGAATTTCAAAAAAGTATTCTGCAGAGGGATATGACAAGGGACGAGAAAATGAGAACAGCAGACGTGAGGAGGGAGCACAGGGCGAAAGAAAAAAATCAGGGAACCACAACCCCGAACCCTACAATCCCAGAGGGGAGTGGGGAACCCTCCAGAAGCAGTTCAACAGACTCAGACAGAAGAGTAGTAACCCCCCCACCCACCTTCCCCCAAATAGACGTCCTACCTGCCCCAACTCCTGCCAGCCCCCCTCTAGGTGCCCCATCTAGGTCACCATCCCCCCCTTCCCCCACCCTCAAGCCCTCCCTTCTCCCCCGCCCCACAAGCCCTCCCGTCTCCCCCACCCCCAAGCACTGTGTAGGGGGGGGGGGGTGAGGTGAGGCACAGTGTGTGTGGGGAGTGAGGTGAGGCACAGTGTGGGGGGGGAGGGAGGTGAGGCACAGTGAGGCGCGGAAGGTGAGGCACAGTGAGGCGCGGAAGGTGAGGCACAGTGTGCGGGGTGAGGTGAGGCACAGTGTGGGGGGTGAGGTGAGGCACAGTGCGGGGGGTGAGGTGAGGCACAGTGTGTGGGGGGGAGAGGGAGGTGAGGCACAGTGTGTGGGGGGGGGGAGGGAGGCGAGGCACAGTGAGGCGCGGAAGGTGAGGCACAGTGTGTGGGGGGGGGGGGGGGGGAGGGAGGCGAGGCACAGTGAGGCGCGGAAGGTGAGGCACAGTGTGGGGGGTGAGGCACAGTGCGGGGGGTGAGGTGAGGCACAGTGTGGGGGGTGAGGTGAGGCAGAGTGAGGCAGAGTGAGGCACAGTGAGGCGTGCACCATTGCACTCAGGGGAAAAACAGCCAGGTTTTACGCTCTCATTAACCCTGTAATTGGATCTCTGCCGTTCTGTGCACTATAACTCATCCCTAGCGGGTCAGGGCTCGACGGGGCGCTCGCTTCCTGGGTGGAATCCCGCTCCCAGCTCTGTCCGCCAGGAACCCCGCCCCCCCCCCTGGGCGCTTCCTGGGGCCCGCAAATCTAAGAGAAAACTCATAATGAAATTCGTTGCCATGTACGAGAAAAGTCTAGTCTTTGACAGCTTTATATAATAATAATAATAATAATAATAAAAATAATAATAAATCCACAGAAGGCTTGATGTGAGTTAGAGTGGCAAGCAAAGTGCTCCTGCACACTCTTTCAATACCCATGGTGAGATTCCGTCCGGCCCAACAGCCTTTCTCACGTCCAGATCCAACACGTGCCTCTTGACCTCATCTCTTGTAATTTCGAACCCTTCCAAGTCCTCCTGGGGTACTTCCACCTCTCCTAGCGCAGTGATCTCACCTTGTTCTGTTGTGAAGACCTCCTGGAACCTCTTGTTGAGTTCCTCACACACCTCTTTGTCATTCTATATGTACCTGCCCGAACCCGTTCTAAGTTTCATCACCTGTACTTTCACTGTTGTCTTCCTCCTGATGTAACTGTGGAGTAGCTTTGGTTCGGTCTTGGCTTTATTTGCTATAATTTTCATAATTCTCTTCTCACACTAACATACTCATTCCTGGTTCTCTGGTATCTCTCTCTGCTTTCTGGTGTTCTGTTATTTCGGAAGTTCCTATTCCACGCCATTTTGTTCAGTTCCTTTGCTTCCATACATGCCCTATTATACCATGGATTCTCCTTTTGCTTCTCGTTTTTTTCCATTTGGGTCGGGATAAACCTGTTTACTGCCTCCTGACAATTTTGGGTGACATAGTCCATCATTTCTTGTTCGGACATAATTCTGAGTTCTGTGTCCCATGGCATATCCCATGGGACATACAACTTTTCCCCATATTCCTTTCTCATCTGTTCTCTCACAGAACAGATGAGAAAGAAATTTTCTCATCGCCTCAATTTCCATTTCGGTACGCCAGCCCTTTGTTTTCTAGTTATTTTTTGGCGAGAGGTAAATCCTAGCTCAACCAGGTACTCAAAGCTCAATACACTATGATCACTCATTCCCTGAGGGGCTTCCAACTTAACTTCCTTTATATCCGACTCATTTAGGGTAAATCTCAGATCAAGCAAGGCTGGTTCATCCCCTCCTCTCATTCTTGTCGGTCCCTTGACGTGTTGACTTAGAAAGTTTCTTGTTGCCACGTCCAGCAGCTTAGCTCTCCATGTGTCTGGTCCTCCATGTGGGTCTCTGTTCTCCTACTCTATCTTACCGTGGTTGAAATCTGTCATGATTAGTAGCCTGGATCCATTCCTGATAGCGACAAAAGCTGCCGTGTCTATTATTTTAATGGTGGCCATGTTGTTTTTATCATATACTAGTCTGAGTCTTCTGTCATTTGGCGGGGGGTTATTTATGACTACTACTATAAGGTTTTATCCCCCAATTGCCATGGCATTTGTTATGTAGTCACTGAAACCTTCACAGCCCTGAATAACTCTCTCTCCAAAACACCAGCCATTTTTTTATCAGCAGAGCTGCACCACCTCCTCTTCCTTCTGTCTCTTTCCTCACTACATAATAATCCTGTAGAAACACTGCGTTTGTTATGGTGTTTATTAGCTTTGTTTCTGTGAGTGCTATTATGTCTGGGTTTTCTTCTTGTGCCTATTCTCCAAGTTCACTCGTTTTATTTGTAATCCCATCTATGTTAGTGTACATTGCCTTGAGGCTCACTTTCTTCTGTTTATTCTCATGTCTCCTTCTTGGTGAGCGTTCTGCTGGTGGGGGAAGCTGTTACGTGGGTGTGAAGATTTGTGAGGTGGTTAACAGGGTCTCAGAGGATACTGAGGTGAGGGGGTGGGGGTCAAGGGAAGAGGGGGGACAGGGAAGGGTATGGGGTTAGGATTGAGGGGGGTGACAAGGTGGGTATGGTGGGTTGGACCCTGTGTATAGTCCTGGTCTACAGCGGGGGGGGGGCCTGGGGAGACCTGTTTCAGACGTCAATAATACTGAAATTAAAGTATACAACTCCCCCCCCCCCACACGTCTAATGTTTACTGGACATAATATTAGTCCACTGCCCATTAAGGACACAGTTCCCGCTGCTCCCAAACTCCGACAAAAGTATTCAAGTTTCATTTGGATCTTTCACAAAAGGTTCAGATGAGCGGAGCCGGTTGTTGAGAGCAGAGATAGTTGGCAGTTTGTGCAAATAGATTCTCTCTCTTTTTTCGGAACCTTTCAATGATTTTTTTGGTGCAGGTGAAAGTGTGAATGTTTACTGATGCGCCGTGAGCCGCTAGTCTGGGTCGCCGGTGTGGCAGTGTGTTAAAACATTACTTTTATGTTTCTATTAAACAGTCCAAGTGCTCAGTGTTCCCTGCAAATGATCGCTGTCACTTGAACTGATATTTGCCGTGATCCACCATGATAATATAAGAAATGTGTTTTAAAAAAGGTA